CTGGAGGGGCTGGTGGGGGGGGGGGAAATACCTGTTGTCCATCAGCGCTGTGTAGACGGAGTGAGGGGTGACGGAGAAGAAGGCCAGCAGCTCCTCCTCCAGGCCCTCCAGCGTCCCCTGCAAGGAGAAGCAGGGGCTGTCAGCGAGGAGAGGGCAGCAGTGGCCGGACCCTGCTCAGACCCTGCGGCAACAGCCAAGAGCAAGGAGCTGGGGGAGGGGAGCCGGCACTCGCCGGGTGTACCCCAACGTGGGCAAAGCCACCTGCCCCCATACAGCTCTGCGCCCCTCGCAGCGCCCGTGTTTTGCCTGTGAGGAGCTGCTGCCCCAGGCAGGGCCACGGGCACTTTGTGACCACAGCTGCCTTCCCCTGCCACGTCCGCACAGCCCCAGCACGACGGGGCCTCCGACTCCCGAGGAGTTACCGCCAGCAGCTCCCAGGCAAGTCATCTGGATGCGAGATGGCAGCAAGGCACAAGGGAAGGAGACAACTCCCCTCTCCAGCCCCTGCGGCGGGGAAGAATCCGTCCCCTGCCAACTCCATACTTTGTGTGCCAAGGGCTGGCATCGTCCCTCACGTTCAGAGCAGCGGCAGCCAGGAAAGCCTCGTGCCTCGCACCTCCTTTTCTCCCAACAGGCAAAGGTCAGCTCGATGCAGCTCTCCGGAGCACCGCGACCCCAGAGACAAGCAGCAGAAGCGAGTCTCATTTGAGAACAAATTGAGCAGAAGCCAGCAGGGCAGGAGGAGCCAAGGCTGCTTTTAGAGACTCTAATTAGAGCAAGGAAAACAAACAGAGCAGGAAAACAGCACCACTGAGAAGAGGGAGCAGGGAGCCAGGCACCCCCGGGGCCCAGGAGAGCAAGTGTCTGGGCAGGCAGCACGGCGCAGGGGCTGCGCGTGGCAGCTCGGCGCCCCGAGCCAGGCAGCATGAGGCCACGCTTGCCTCTCCGTTCGGGCTTAATTGTCTGCTCAGCGGTTTATGCAGTTTGACCCCTTTCAAAAGGCATTTGAGTTTTTCCAAATAGCCTTGTGTGGACCGTTCTGAAGACCGCAAAGGCTCCGCTGCTGCCCCTGTAGGCAAACACGCTGGATTTCCCCTGTCACCTGCTGCTCGTCGAGCAGAGACTGGGAAACAACCACGAAAAAGTGTCCTGTAACTACCAGAAAAATCTGAACTGAGCCAGGAAAACCCATCTGCGCAGGGAGCTGAATGTCTGTTTGCAATCAGCCACGACTGCAGAGGTCATACGAGAATTGGAGCGCATTCCCCAGGAGCTCATCTGAAATTCAGCACTTGTCTGGCTCAGTGACCGTGCGCGAGGTCAGGGGACAGCCCTCGGGACACCGCTCCGGGCGAAGTTGCACGTGGGGTGCTGGCAGCCGGGGCCCTGTCTGCCCCAGCCCCGCCGCCCCCCAGTAGCCCCCGGCTCACCATGGGGATCCGGCCCCGCTTCAGGGTGGAGCGCAGGCGGCGGCTGATGCGCTGGAAGCACTCCTTGGGCGTGAAGGCAGGGTGGTCTGGAGCCGGCGGAGAGAAGACAGAAGGGACTCGGACATGGCTCGCATCCCCAGCGCCCGCGGGACGGCTCTGGCCGCAGCCGCCACAGCATCACCCCTCCGAAGGAGGCCCA